CTAGGACTTCTTGATGAAGGTGAAGGGTAGAACATACACATTAACTTTCTTTATCTCTTAAACTCCCATAAGGCAACAGCCATGGAATAATAATTATAATAATAAAACCTAACATGACACAGAGAATAAAAAAGAAGATAATAGGTCTACATTTTTGGAATCTGAAAGGACCCAAGGAAGCTCAATCTTAAAATAAAAAGTAATATGATTCATATGAGAGAGAATCCCTTTTGCACACACATGCACACGTGCTCACACACACACGCCTATGCATACAGATACCCCAAAAGCTTAGGAAATGGTAATACAAAGTAATTTCTGAAACTGGGAGTGATTGAAGGTAGGGCTAAAAATTGAAGCATGGGGACACCTGGGTGGTTCAGTCAGTTAAGCATCTGCCTTTGGCTCAGGTCACGATTCCAGGATCCTGGGATCTAGTCCTGCATCGGGATCCTTGCCCATCAGGGAGCCTGCTTCTCCTTCTTCCTGCCACTCCCTCTGCTTGTGCTGTCTCTGTCTCTCTGATAAATAAATAAATAAAATCTTTAAAAAAAATTTAAAAAATGGAAGCATGTTTGAATATTCCTTTAAGAACAATGAGATCCTGCTATCCCTTCCTAACCTCTGTACAGTGAAGTGAATCTCCCTTCTTCTACCCTGGCAGGATATATAAGTTTATTATCCAGAGAAGATAAAACTGAAGGTCTCTAGACTGAAAAGAAAAGGAGGGAGTTGTACTTATAGGCAAAGAAGATCCTTCTATGGGGAATCCACTGATAGCCAGAGCTATTTAGGGAAATGACCCAGTGCCCCGCCCCCCCATATATAGAGAATCTCAGTCATTGAACAGTACTCCCTGAGAGTTTATCATCAGCTTCCATATGAACTGATCATTAGGAATCAGAAAATATCTTAGGAAAATTAAAGATCAGCAAAAAATCTTAGAAGAAACTGATAGAAGACCTGAGAAGAAGACTTGGACAAACTGTCATTAGTGCCTTCAGGGAGGGAGAACCCCTGATGGATGGTGCTTCAGCTATGTTCCTTGGTAGGAAGTGATGGGTCTTCACGACCAATATAGAGGCACTCCTGTAGCACATGACCCCCTTGTAGACCACATTTCAGATACTGGGTCCTCACACTCCTTGTATAGCACACCCCAGTTCCATTCCCAGGGTCTGCAAGCCTCTTTCCTGTCTCTGTCCTTCTGAGTGCCTTCTAACACAGTATGCTTAGAGGGAAGCTTGTGTATGTGAAATGTGGATGGAGTTTGGGTATGTGGTCTGAGTCCACATGTGTAAGCATGGGGTCATTATAGATGAAAAGTCTTCCATACTGCTTAGCATAATGGATGATTATAGACCATATTTATGCTGCATATTGTATAATTTGACATTGTAAGACACTATAAACAACAGGAGATCCTACAAGCTTTCTGAGAGGGAAAACCCTACAACCACCAAAAAAATGTCATATACGAATGATCAGGATCAGAAAGGCTTCAAACAGCTCACTAGTGACACTAAAGTCAAGAAGGGAATGGAGCAGAACCTTCAAAGGTCTGAAAGGAAAAGAAAATTCTAAACTATACTTCTATATGTGAATTATTAATTACATAAGTGAACAGAATAAAGATATTTTCAGAAATTGAAGGTTTCAAAAAGTTGTCTCCCATGAATTCCTTTTCAGAAGCTATGGGATGATGTATTCCCCTAACAAGGGAATAAACAGAGGAGAACAAATGTGTATGAGACAAATGAGAAGGCTCTAGAAAAGACAAAGAATATCAAAGTTTCAATGTATATGAGTATATTTCAAAGTGATTTTGACAATTGGAGATTGGAGTTCAATATTGTAATAAGTTTATAGGAAAATAAGGTGTCAACCCCCTACCTCTTTCCAAAACAGGCAGTTTTTAACTGTAGGGCAAGAAAAGGCAAGCAATCAGCATATTTATGGCTTAGTTGTGAATCTTCGTATCAGAAATAATGACTATTGATTCAACCAAAGTTGTAATAGAAAGCTAAGGGGATTTGTGCTTCCTAGAAGTGGAGATGGGGAGAGGGTGTTGGTTGGTTTGAGAGGATGATCCTCTTCTTTCACAGTGGGAGGTCAGTAGATAATGCTGGAAACTGAAAATGCAGTAGCAATGTAACCATGGGGTCTGGTGATTTAAGCTGATAATGATACGGAAACTTAGAATGAAAAAAGCTGCCTTTGGAGGGTTTTATCCCTTCAATAACTATGTCACTCTTTATGTGAATATTTTTTTTTAAATATTAAGATTTAAATTTTTTTATTTAAGTGTAGCTGACACCCAATGCTACAGTAATTTCAGGTGTACAATATAGTAATTCGGTGTCTTTATATGTTATACTATGCTCACCATAAGTATAGCTCCCATCTGTCACCATACAATGTTATTATAATATCATTGACTATATTCCCTATGTTGTGCCTTTTATTCCCTTGACTTTTTCATTCCATAACTGGAAGCCTGTATCTCCTACTGCCCTTCAGCCACTTTGACCATCTTTCTACCCCTCGTTCCTCTGGCACCCATTAGTTTTCTGTAATTTATAGGTCTGATTCTGCTTTTTGTTTGTTTTTTAGATTCCACATATGAGTGAAATCATATGGTATTTGTCTTTCTCAGTCTGACTTATTTCACTTAGTCTAATATTCCTAGCTCCATCTGTATTGTTGCAAAGGGCAAGATATCATTCTTTTTAGGCTGCATAATAATCCATTATATATACATATATACATACATAACACATTTTTTTTTTACTCTATTCATCAATTGACGGACACTTGGGCTGTTTCCCTATCTTGGCTATTAAAAATAATGCTACAGTAAACATAGGGGTCCAGATATCTTTTTGAATTAATATTTTTTTTTCTTTGTGCAAATACCTAGTAGTGGAATTTTAGATCATATTGTATTTCTCTTTTTAATTTTTTGAGGAAACTCCATACTTTTCACAGTAGCTGTGCCAATTTCCCTTTTTTTTCCCCACATCCTTGCCAATACTTTTTATTTCTTAACTTTTTGATTTTAGCCATTTTGACAGGTGTGAGGTGATAGATACCTCATTGTAGTTTTGATGTGCATTTCCCTGATGATGAGTGATGTTGAGCATCTTTTCATGTGTCTGCAGGCCATCTTTATGTCTTCTTTGGAAAAATGTATGTTCAGGTCCTCTACCCATTTTAAAATCAGATTTTTTTTTTTTTTGGTGTTGTAGAAGTTCTTTATATTTTTAAAATATATATGGATATATCATTTGCAAATAATCTTCTCCCATTCAGTAGGTTGCCTTTTTGTTTTATTGATAATTCCTTTGCTGTGCAGAACCTTTTTAGTTTGATGTAGTCCCAGTAGTTTTTGATTTTGTTTCCTTTGCTTTAGCAGACATAGCCAGAAAAATGTTGTGACAACCAGTGTCAGAGAAATTATTGCCTGTTCTTTCTTCTAGACTTTTTCTGGTTTTAGGTTTCACATTTAGGTCTTTAATCCTTTTGAGTTTATTTTTTGTGTATGGTGTTAGAAAGTGTTCCAGTTTCATTATTTTGCCTGTAATTGTGCAGTTTTCCCATTTATTGAAGAAACTATCTTTTCCCTATTGTATATTCTTGCTTTCTTTGTTATAGATTAATTGACCATATAAGCATGGGCTTATTTCTGGGCTATTTTGTTTTATTGATCTATGTGTTTATTTCTGTGCCAATGCCATACTGTTTTTTTTTAAGATTTTATTTATTTATTCATGAGAGAGAGAGAGAGGCAGAGCGAGAAGCAGGCAGGGAGCCCGATGTGGGACTCGATCCCAGGACCCTGAGATCATGACCTGAGCCGAAGGCAGACGCCTAACCATCTGAGCCACCCAGGCGCCCGCCATACTGTTTTGATTACTATAGCTTTTAGTGTATCTTGAAATCTGGAAGTATGATACCTCCAGCTTTTTTCTTCTTTCTCAAGATTTCTTTGGCTATTTGGGGTCTTTTGTGGTTTCATACAAATTTTAGCATTATTTGTTCTAGTTCTGAAAAAATGCTGATGGTACTTTGATAGGGATTACATTGAATTATAGTTTTCAAACTATAGGTTTTTTACTTCCTTGGTTAAGTTTATCCCTAGGTATTTCATTCTTTTTGGTGCAATTGTGAATGTGATTCTTTTCTTAATTTCTCTTTTTGCTATTTCATTATTAGTGCATAGAAATGCTACTGATTTCTGGGCATTAATTTTGTATCCTGCAACTTTACTGAGTTCATGTACTACTCATGGTGTTTTGCTGCATCTCCAAAATTTTGGATCATTGTGTTTTCATTTTCATTTGTCTCCATGTTTTTTGATTTAAACAAGGAGGTAAGAGACCTTTACAATGAAAACTTTAAGACACTGATGAAAGAAATTGAAAATGACGCAATGGAAAGATATTTTATACCCAAGGATTAGAAGAATTAATGTTAAAATGTCCACACTACCCAAAGCAATCTATAGATTCAATGTAATTCCTTAAAATACCAACAGCATTTGGGGCACCTGGGTGGCTCATTTGGTTAAGCAACTAACTCTTGATTTCGGCTCAGGTCATGATCTCAGGGTCATGCGATGGAGCTCTGCATTGGGCTCCACGCTGAGCATGGAGCCTGCTTAAGATTCTCTCTCTCTCCCTCTCCCCCTTTCCAACCCTCCCCCTCCTCCTCATGCTTGCACTCTCGACCCCTGCAAAATATGTATATATATGCCAACAGCATTTTTCACAGAACTGGAACAAGTTCACCTAAGTCTCAGAATACTTTCCTTTTCTAATCATAAAGGAAACTGATAAATGAGGATTGATGTTTCATAGAGATAGGGTTTTAATGTAGATATGTGTTTAACTGTTCAAAGATTTTTTTTCCAGTGGATTTTGACAGGGTGAAGTTGAATATATGATGATTTTTTTAGGCTGAAATGTATTTTCTTTCATTAATTTTAGTTTTATTTTCAGGGTGACCGTGGACTTCCGGGTTTTCCTGGGCTTCATGGAATGCCAGGATTAAAGGTTGAAAAACAATCTAGTCTTTTAATATTCAGTAATGTTGCATTTTATTTTAAATTAAAACTTCTTTATGTTACAAATGTGTTATAAATAAATGCTCAAATGTAAAGTATATTAAAATAAATGATTGGATTACTATCATAATTTACATAAAGCTTTTTACAAATTTTCTTTAAAATTTCCAGTCACAAATGTTTTGGCATTTAAACATTGATGAGTAAGTTTTAATATATGAAAATTCTTTTAACTATAAGCCCTGTTATGGTACCAACTATCCTTATTTTTCCTTGTTTTTCTTCATAAAGCCTCAAAAATAGGGCTTTATAAACAAAGCTTAAATTATTTCTATTTTATTTTATATTGGCAGTTAAACTTTGTTTATAATTGGTGCTGTTTTTTTCTTTAAGCTTCAAGGGACATTTTCATATTTCTCTAAAATTCAATAATTTAATTCCAGTTAGTGAACATATAGTGTCATATTAGTTTCAGGTGTACAATATCATGATTCAACAATTCTATACCTCATTACTCAGTTCTCATCGTAAGTTTACTCTTAATCCCCTTCATCTATTTCACCCATCCCCCACATCCCCTCTGATATGCTTTATTTTAAATGAATAAAGTTGTCTTTTTTTTTTTTTTTTAACAAGAACTTGAAGCATACTTCAGAATACATGGTTTGAAAAGATATATTTAAAACAAGAGAAATAGAATACACATTTTCTTCAGGTACACACAGAAGAATTCCCTGGTTAAATCACATAAAAATAGACATAAATACTGGAATTAAAAAATTAAAAAAATAAAAATAAAATTCAGTATTTATATTTTGTCTTTTAGGGTGAAATGGGCCCCAAAGGAGATAAAGGATCAACTGGATTTTATGGCAAAAAGGGAAGTATGGATTATAAAACAAAGTATCTGTATGGAACTTTGGATGTCATAGAAGTAGAAAACTTGGATTTCAGTCCCAGCTCACTCACCATTATAGCAATTAGCTTTGTTCACCTTTCTCAGGAAATTTATTTAGAATAATGAAAAAAATAGAATAATACCTGGTGTGTGGTATTTTATAAGAATACATCATGTTATTGATCATTCTGAATTTTTAAAATATTTATAAAGAGAGATTCTTTGGGAGGAAGTGGGAACTGCTTAACAGCATGTCCATGGAGAATCAGTTATGGGCCTTCCGATTTCCTCACATTGGAGGATGATTATATTTTCTGTATATTATATTTACAATACTCACTGCTTTTTAATTTTGCCAAGATGTGGTTTCTGTTTTTAGATGCTTGTAATCCTGCATTCACCATTGCTTTTTAATGTCTTTGTGTCCACTGGCCTGGTAAAATAATGCTTTGCCGGGAGTTGTAGAGCCAACTCTAGCTGTCGTTCCATAAATTCTGTCACTACGTAAAGAGGTTAACTTTTTAACTTAAGTTTGAGTTGGAATTTTTAAATCATTATTGTACCTCCTTTGGGGATGGTGTCCAGAGGCATCCCCAATGGTCCAGCTACTATCACAGGCTATTCTACAATACAGCCTCTAGCAAAACTAGGCTGTCCAGAACCTCTGGTAAAAGAATTGTTTACCTTTGTACCAAGAAAAAGTTGGGAAACCACCAAGATCCATATGTGTGTGCCCAAGCCAACTTCAAAGAATTTGTGCTGTGAGACCTAAAGTCTTAGGAATTTGCCTAAAATGAAAAAACATGTCAGCAGGGCCCATGGTGGTTCCATGTGTGCTAAATATGCCCATGCCAAGGTCAAGCATGCTTGCTTTATTGAGCAGAAAATCATTGTGGATGTGTTGAAGGCACAAGCACAGAGTCAGAAAGCTAAGCAAACAAAAAAATGAAGCGTTTCTGAGTAATAAAAACAAAAATTGAAAATAAAATTATTGCATGGGTCGTTTTCTAAGTGTTTGTTTTTAATACAGGGTGCAAAAGGTGAAAAGGGGAATGCTGGATTTCCTGGCCTTCCTGGACGTGCTGTGAGTTTGATAGAAAAAGCTCTTCAGTATTTTACTTTAAATAAAAATTGTACTGCCTTCTTTTAGAAAGAAAAATTAGTGCAAAAAATATATTAAAATACATGTGTTTATTTTTTAGGGAGAACCAGGAAGACATGGAAAGGATGGATTAATGGGTAGTCCTGGTTACAAGGTATTTACATAAAAAAACCAAAAGATTTCTGTAACTCGTGAGTGAACATTAGAAAAATGTACTGATACTTGACTTTGTTTACATTATGACATTGGTATAAAATAATGAGCTGAAAGTGTTTTACTGTAATTTAAAAATGGTAGTAAATTTCTTTTGAGTCTACTGTGAATTCTTAGGTGTTAGAAATAGAATCTCTGGATATTAGAAGGTTGAACTTCTTTGATAAGCCATTCAAATTGGTTTGTTTGGTGGGTTAGAGGCAGAGGTACCAAGCTCTTATCTACCAATAAGGGAGGTACTTGGGTGGGAGGTAGGGGGGGACTTCATCCTTAACCTTAACAACTTCTTTACCAGTTGTATGATATTAGTATGAGAGAATTAGAGCAAGAGGAACCGCAAAGTGCCTGTCATTCACCACCCCTAAAAAACTCAAAGGCACATGCCCTTACGATGATGGGTTAGCACCATCATATTCTTACATAAAGAAACTTTTTTTGGTTAATAATCAAATAGAAATGGGCTTTCTATGCTGTAGTTTGTTAAATAAAAGGGTATCAATCCTGTATATATATTTAAGTCAGTCTATCTGGGATGTGCCAACAGCCCACATAATTGTTCTGCTATAAGTTTTTTGAATACCTAAGGAGAGGATTTGTGTAATCCATCAACCAGTGAGGCCACTTGGTCAAGCATTGGATTTAGAGATGTCATCATGGTCCCTAGTCATCAGGCCAAACTTGCTCAAAAATCCAGTTCAGATTTTCTTGGTCTGCTACTGATTTCTTTTTTGTTGGACAAATTATTCATTTATTTGCTTAATAAGTATTATGAAAGTTCCCCAAATATCCATGACTCCTTAAATATTATAAATAGTGCTTCCTGAATTTAAAATATTGGGGCTCATTTGCTAACCCATCATCATAAGAGCTCAGTCATGTGTTAATTATATTTCACTGATTCTGTATTTTATTTCCCATTTGTTAATTAAACAGACATTTACTGATATTTATTAGGTGCTAGACATACAGAGGGGAAGAAGACCGTCACAACCCTTATTTTTATGGAAGTTATAATCTAGTCTCTCTTTATTAAAGAACACAGATTCTTTTCTTTACCTGCAAATTTGGCATTCATCTAATTTAATTTTTGTCTTCTGTTACCATTAGCCCATGTGCCCCAAGAAATGAGATTATAGTTTTGGGGGGTAGTAAAGTTTAGAGACTAGAACTGAGTTGGATTCCCACCGCTTGGTGACTTTTTCTAACCAGCTGTACGTCCTTTGACAAATACTTTGACCTTCCAGTTTTCTCCATTTAAAAAATGTACCTCTGAAGCAAATAATACATTATATGTTAAAAAAAAAAAAAAAGATAGCAGGAGGGTAAGAATGAAGGGGGTGGAAATCGGAGGGGGAGACGAACCATGAGAGACAATGGACTCTGAAAAACAAACTGAGGGTTCTAGAGGGGAGGGGAGTGGGAGGATGGGTTAGCCTGGTGATGGGTATTAAAGAGGGCACGTTCTGCATGGAGCACTGGGTGTTATATGCAAACAATGAATCATGGATCACTACATCAAAAGCTAATGATGTAATGTATGGTGATTAACATAACATAATAAAAAAAATGGGATAAATGTTACCTACTTAGAATGGTGTGGTAGGGACTGAGAACAATAGAGCACCCAGCATAGTACTTGTCAGAGAATATATTCAATAAGGAATTAGTTTCTTTGTCCATTTTTTGATTAGAACATTACTTTAAGATCCTTTTTTGAGCTTTTTAAATTTATTTTTATTTTTTTTTAAGATATTTATTTATTTGACAGAGAGAGAGACAGCAAGAGAGGGAACACAAGCAGGGGGAGTGGGAGAGAGAGAAGCAGACTTCCCGCCAAGCAGGGAGCCCGATGTGGGGCTCGATCCCAGGACCCTGGGATCATGACCTGAGCTGAAGGCAGATGCCTAACGACTGAGCCACCCAGGCGCCCCTTGAGCTTTTTTTAAAAACCCACTTTATTGAGGTATGAGTGACATACAGAAGTTACATATTTCATGTATACAACTTGGTGAGTTTGTACATGAGTATATTCTCAAGAAATCATCACCACAATCAGTGCCATAAACATATCTGTCACCTCAAAAGTTTCCTCCCTCTCTTTTTTTTTTTTTTTCGTGGTGACAGCATTTAATATAAGGTCTGCCTTCTTAGCTAATTTTAAAGTTTGCATTACAGCATTGTTAACTGTAGGCACTAAGCTGTATGGTAGATTTCTAGGTCTTACTCATTTTACATAATTGAAACTTTACCCTTTGACCAATACTTCCGTGTTTCTCCCTCTCCCCAGCCCCTGGTAACCACCATTCTACTCTCTTTTTCTGTGAGTTTGACTGTTTTAGATTCCACCTGTAAGTGGGATCATATAGTATTTGTCTTTCTATGTCTGGCCTATTTCACTTAGCATATGTCTTCTGGGTTCATCCATGTTGTAACAAATGGCAGGATTTCCTTCTTTTTTGAGGATGAAGCGTATGTCTGTGTGTGTGTGTGTTTGTCTATATGTCTTATCTGTGTCTATCTAGATATCACATTTTCTTTGTTCATTCAACTGTCAAGAGACATTTAAGTTGCTTTTATGTTTTGACTATTGTGAGTAATGCTGCGGTGGACATGGCACTACAAGTATGTCTTCGAGATCCTGATTTCCATTCCTTTGGATATATACCTGGAAGGAAGATTGCCACAGCATATAGTTGTTATCTCTTTAATTTTTCGAGGAACCTCTGTAACTGTTTTCCATAGTGACTATATCAATTTACATTCCCACCAACAGTGTACAGGGCTTCTAGTTTTTCCACATCCTTTCCAAGATTTTTTTTTTTTTTTTTTTTGGCTAATAGCCCCAACAGATTTGAGATGATATTCCACTGTGGTTTTGATTGCATTTCCCCATTGATTAGTGATGTTGAGCTCCTTTTCATATACTTGTTGGTCATTTATGTCTTTTTGCAGAAATGACTATTCAGTTCCTTTGCCCATTTTTAAATTGGGTTGTTGTTATTATTACTGCTATTGAATTGTAGGAGTTCCTTATATATTTTGGATATTAACCCTTTATCAGATAGATACATGGCTTGCAAATATTTTCTCCTAATCTGTGGGTTGCCTTTTCATTTTGTTGATGGTTTTCTTTTTTTGTGCAGAAGCCTTTTGGTTTGATGTAGTCCCACTTCTCTAATTCTGCTTTTGTTGCCTATGCTTTTGGTTCCTGGATTGTACGTAGGAATTTTGGGATTCTTTTTTCTATTTATATAAAAAATGCCATTGGGATTTTGATAGGGATTTCATTGAATCTGTAGGTCATTTGTGGTAGTGTGGACATTTTAACAATAAAAAATGTTCCAATCCGTGAACTAGGGATTAGGAATGGCTTTTCATTTATTTATGTCTTAATTTCTTTCATCAGTGTTTTGTAGTTTTTAGTGTATAAGTCTTTCTCCTTTTTGGTTTAGTTTATTTCAAATTATTATTTTTGATGCTATTATAAATATGGTTGCTTTCTTAATTTCCTTTTTGTATGGTTTGCTGTTAGTGTATAAAAATGCAATTGACTTTTGTATGTTGATTTCATATCCTGCAACTTTACTGAATTTATTAGTTTTGACAATTTTTTAATGGAGTCTTTAGGTTTTTCCATATATGAGATCATGTCATCTACAAACAGAGACAATTTTCTTTCTTTTACAATTTAGATGTTATTTCTTTCTTTTTCTTGCCTAATTTCTCTGGCTAGTACTTTCAGTACTGTGTTGAAAAGAAGTGGCAAGAGTGGGCATCTTTGGCTTGTTTCTGATCTTAAAGGAAAAGCTTTCAGTTTTTTTTCATTAAATATGTTCACTGTGGGTTTTTCATATATATGTCATCTTTATTGTGTTGAGTTAAATTCCTTCTATACCTAGTTTTTTGAGACTTTTAATCATGAAATGGTGTTTTGTCAAATGTTTTTTTCTACATTTCTTGAGATGATGTGATTTTTATCTTTTTTTCTGTTAATCTGATATATCACATTGATTTGCATATACTGCCATCTTTGCATCCCAGGATAAATCCCACTTCATTATGGTGGATGATCCTTTCAATATGCTGTTGAATTCAGTTGGATATTATTTCTTCAGGAGTTCTGCATGTATGTTCATCAAGAATATTGGCCTGTAGTTTTCTTTCCTTGTGGTTTTAGTATCATGCTAATACTAACCTCATAAAATGATTTGGGAACTGTTTCCTCTTTTATTTTTTGGAAGATTTTAAGAAGGATTCATATTAATTCTTTAAATGATTAGTGGAATTTATCTGTGAAGTCTGCCTGTCCTGGGACTTTCTTTATTTTAGGAGATTTTTCATTACTGATTCAATCTCCTTATTTGTTATTGGTCTGTTCAGGCTTTCTCTTTCTTCTTAATTCAGTCTTGTTAGGTTTTATATTTCTAGGAATTTATCCATTTCTTCTAGTTTTTCCAGTTTGTTGGCATATAATTATTCATAAGAGTCCCTTGTGATCTTTTTTATTTCTGTGGCATCAATGTCACAGAAATAAAATGTCTCTTCTTTTGTTTCTGATTTTATTTGAGTCTTCCCTTTTTTTTTCTCAGTCTAGCTAACTAAGGATTTGTCCATATTTTAGATCTTCTTAAAAAATAAACTCTGGCTTTAATTATTTTTTCTTTTGTTTTTGTATTCTCTGTTTCATTTATTCTTGCTCTAATCTTAATTATTTCCTTCCTCCAGCTAACTTTGGGCTTGGTTCTTTTTTTTCTAGTTTTTGCCCTTTTTTTAAAAAAAGATTTTATTGATTTATTTGAGAGAGAGAGCACACAAGAGCGGGGAGAGGCAGAGGGAGAAGGGGAAGCAGACTCCCCGCTGATCAGGGAGCCCTACTTGGGGCTCGATCCCAGGACCCTGGGATCATGACCTGAGCCCAAGGCAGACGCTTAACTGACTGAG